ACAATGTATATATAATTTTCTTTGAATAAACGTTATACATACAATTTTTTGAGTATTTTTTTTCGACATGGAACGCATTATCGTATTTTACATTAATTTATATGGGAAAATTTTTTTCGCATTACGAGTAAGATTCTGAAACGAATTATGCTCGTTAAGCGAGGTTACATTGTATATGTAATATTCGGTGCATGCGACATATAAAAATGTCACTAGTCTCCTGACTGTTCAATATTAATTAAATTATAAGTTGAAGAGTATTATATTTTGGGATATAACGGCGTGTAGCCCGTTGAAAGTCAACCGAACTTTCGGGGGAACATCTCGCCTCTATCTTCAGGGCAGAAGAATAAGCCGACCAAGAATCCAGCGCGAAAACAGGTGGAAAGCAGAGCCAAACATGGCTTCGATTGCTACTTGTTTTCGCGTTGGTTCCTTGGTCGGCTTATTTATCGGCCCTGAAGATGGTGATAGGACCTATATTTCTCCGAAACGTCGACTGAACTTCAACGTACTACTGTGTGTCATTTTCCAAAAGATAGTACTCTTCATAACCACAGATGCGAGAACCTCAAATCCTACAAGTTACTAGTTTCCTGTTGTGGAAAGAACTCTGTCTCGATGAGCGGGAGTCTCCACTGAAGGTGGCGATTCTGAAGACCAGACAGGAAAGATTACGCAATGCCTTTACACCACCATCAGGCAAAACTTTTCCAACCGAAACCAGCACAAGAAAAGCAGAGCTGAAACAAACGAGCTATGTTTAATGTATAGGAGGAATTTCGTGGACACAATTGTGTTGAGGAAACTTCAATGCATTAATGAACAAGATACAACACGACGCCCCGATATAACATTCCATAAACTGTACCCACCTAACATTGCTAAAAGTCACATAAAATGTTGATGAAATAAAGTAAACGCCTCATCATCTCATAAAGATATTAATAACATCTCAAACAGGTGACTGGGTTTAATCATGTTCCTGGAAGATATATCACCTCCTTACATTTAATTCCGTAGCGACAACACTAACTGCATGATGGTCGAGTCACTTACACAATTTGAACCTGGGTCTTCAGGTATTCTGCGTAAATAGAAGTTCGCAAAAGAAATTTGTCTGATTATTTTTTGAAAGCTGTAGAACATGACGCAGTGGCTGGTCGAAATTCATATTTAGCTTTCGGTCTTATGGACGTAAGTAATAACTTCCAAAGTTCAACATGTTGCATTTGGCATAGACGTGTATCATACTGTGACATGTAAACCTACTTCTAGGCAACGCCTGAAATATGCGCAAGCAACAATAGGACCAGCGTCGCAAGAGGTGTTTTCTATGTGGTTCACATATATTCATTGCTAGATAACAGGCCAATAAACATGCATTCTTGATAAGAGAAAACTGTGTTTTCCGTGGTGTCCGTGCCGACAGGTTTATGCTTTTCTGATAAATTTGGGAAACTCACTGTGTAATGGATGAAGTAGGATCTACAACCTGCACTGGGATAAAGCTAAGGTGCTGCTTCATCATAACGGGATATGGAGCATACATGGAAGTTTGTAGAACATAAGTAGACGGTTGTAATATATTCCTGCATTCGCCTCGAAGTACTGAGGAAAACCTCTGCCATGACTGCAATTCAGCGTAAGTTCAAGCCGAATACTCTCGAAATTGGTCTAGAAAATTACCAGCTCCATTTCTATTTAAAACAATAGACGGTTTATTTCACAGAAAAATAAACCGTTTAGGACTGTATGAGCTGGAGAAGTTCGATTCTATAAATGACACCAAATTAACATCAGGCACATAGAAACAATTTAGATTAATGGATGGACTGTTCCCTTACCTATGGTACACCTACTGCAGTTCTTTACATACTTCCGCACAATATTTTCTGTCTCTCGCAATCCTCTTTCGTTGTAACATCGTGTGCAGTAACCCAGGCGCAGGTTGTGTAGGGCTAGCAAGGTTCATTCAGGTTTTGCATGCTTTAAGAACTCCTGGATGCACCATTTTTACAGTGGAGACCAGGAAGAAAAGTATTCTTGCAACAAATCACAGAATAACCAGCAGTGAACCATAATATATTTGAGGCATACTTGAAAAAAAAATTACGAAAAAGAGCATGACGGGTTTTGAAATTATTTTATGCTTAATGTTAGCTATTATTTTCTGAGACTTTAACCCTATTTGGTTAAGGTCTATACTGCTTCAGAGTTCCTTCAGGTGTCTCTATCTTTCTGGGCAATGCTAGGGGAGTAGCTTGAAAGAGTTGAAGACCATCTCTTCTGAATTCCTGACAAACGTTCTTCTTTTTTTCATTCAGATGAACTTCATGCTATGTATCCTACGCACATCAACCAATATGAAAAACTGTATCGATATTGGAGATGTCAATATCGATATCGAATTATCGATTTATAATTGTTCGAGAATCTAAGGAAGCTCGCATTTATATACTCTACTCGTATGTTTCCCTTATTTGCATTGAGGATTGCTGAAAATAAATACAAATTAGAATGAAAATTTGTACTACCGATGAAAAAAAATATGTCTATTTAAAAACATAATTCAGTTCAGAAAAAAAGTGCATTTTTTCTTATTTACATTAGGCCTTACACAGTCGTCCCGATTAATCTGTTTGTTTGCAACAACCAACCGAAATATTTCCCCATTTCTTGTACCTTCGAATAAATTACGATAATCTTACTGTACTAAGAAGTTAAATGGTACATTAAATACGCTGTTTCCAAGCCGACAACAAACAATTTGTTCCTAAGCTATGCTGCATCATATCAGTTTG